AAAAAATCACAGAGATGGGAACCAGCAAAAAGGAGCACAAAAATCTGTGTACAAACTCCTTCCAGAGAATTGGCTATACTTTCACATGGCGCGATTCCATGAAACTCAGCCGAATAACAGCAGCTGAGAGATTAAAGAGCTAAGCAGAGATTTCAGCAAGCACACTTTGCTGGGGAGAGTAGCTGGAGCTCATAAATAGAATTTCTAAATGTGTTTTCTCTCAGTTTTTGTATATATCTTCTCATGGATCAGTAACAAAAATTTGTGGGTTGGTAATGGGTTCTTAGACGAGATTTTCTTGAGCAATATTTTGAGTATCAGTGTTAACAGTGTACAGTGCTACACAGTCGTAAGTCTGTGACTGGAGTATTTCCCTTAATTTACATAGCCCTTAAAGGAAGTGTAAGTTTTAATGGTATTATGATTATAGATTTTTTAAAAAGAGGTTATTTATACTACATAAAAGTACTGACACTTAAGTTCTTATATGTAACTGGTAAATTTTTACTTTTTGATTATAGTTTCTACTTTATTCTGGTCCTGAAATGAGAATGACTTTTCTGATAATAATAAGATTTTCTTTAACCATTCAATTATGCATTTTCTGTGTTCCTTGAAACTAGAAATGGGCAAATATTTTGAGCTTGAAAGACAAGTTATACCATTTAACACCACAAGATGTCATTTATGTAAAAATAAAGTTGGTTTATCTGTCTTAGTTATCTAGTGCTGCTATAACAGAAATACCTCAGGTGGGTGGCTTTAACAATCCGAAATTTGTTTTCTCACAATTTAGGAGGCTAGAAGCCCAAATTCAGAACACTGGCTCTAGGGGAGGTCTTTCTGTCTCTGTTCTGTCTGGGGGAAGGTCCTTGTCTCTCTGAGCTTCTGCTCCTAGGTGATCTTCATGTGGCTTGGTATCTTTCTTCTCCCCTCTCTGCTTTGTTGTTTGTCCTGCTTTGCTCTTTTTTTTATTACAAAAATTTATTGACTGATAAAATGGGATTACAAGAAGGGGAAGACAGGGACACTGGCCCTCTATACCTGGCCTAATAGAACTTTTTGCAGCCATGGAAGTGTTTCTGTATCTGTGCTGTCCAATATAGTAGGTATCACTAGCTACATGTGACTGTTGAGCTCTTGAAATGTGTCCAGTGCAACTGAGGAACTGAATTTTTAACAGTATTTAATAGCCATATGTGGCTGTGGCTACCAAGTCATATTGAACCATACAGTTCTACACAAAGAAGGCAGTGAATTCTGGTTCTTCCTAGGACCCTCAGAGAAGTAGCAAGTCTTTATTTATAGTCTTTGCCCACAAACCAGAGTCCTCAGAGGTACAACACAAGAATCCTAGGTGTGGGGATGGAAGCTTGTCTGTGCATATGAGAAGTGTAGGAGGAGATGTGACAAGGCTCCTGTTATCAGGTGACAATTGTGACCTCGAAATTAAGCACTCTTTTCCTTGTCCTCTGAGCCACTGAGTGGAAGAAAGCCTCATCTACTCTTTTTGTATCTTGTAAGAGATTGACTCAAAACACACCCTATATTAATCCTGCCTCATTAACATAACAAAGACAACCCTGCCTCATTAACATAACAAAGACAACCCACACCCAAATGGGATTATAATCACAGGCATAGAATTAGGATTTACAACACATATTTTGGGGGGGGGGGACACAATTAAATCCATAACAGTATTCCAATACTCAAAACCAGAAAGCTACATGCAGGTAACTAGGTAAATAGAAAACTATATTTGAGACAAGTAGTGGTTTTCAGCACAGATTCAGTGAAAATGTTGCTATTTAAGAGTTATTTTTAAGCAGATATTTTGTTGTTTAGCAAAAACGATTTTTTAATTTTTAATGTTATATAGTAATCCGTATTAATGGGTCATATTTGAGTATATATTATTATAAGTAAGGAGGTAGACCTAAAAAATGACTCAGTGGAAGTCTGTATATTTTGAAAGAAAACCAAAGCTATGCTAGTAACTCTCCCAAATCTTTATTGTTTTGGTGACAACCAAAGAGAAATTTAGGGAGAAATCTGTAGTTTATGTCAGAATTTTTTATAGGTTTTTATGACAGTGCTGTTAGTAGTTGAATATTACATCAGCAGTGCTTAGGATTTTTCTTGCTCTTTACTGTGAACCTCAAAGTTGTTAACTCTCTGTCTGTGTTAACACAAAAGAAATTTATATTGGTTGTTGAAGACTAGTGTTTCTGTTAAACAGGAGGAGCAAAACCTTTGACTTTAATATTGAGATACTGTTTTCTTATTTTTTAGTTTGAGAGAGAGGGTCAGGACCTAAAGGTGTTTAGGAGGAAGACTCTGGCATCCTGGGTTTAAGAGGTGCAAACCAAGTTTCCATCCAGGCCATGAATAAGATTAAGCCTGGGGTTAGAGGCTGAGATGTCTTGAATATTGACACTTCATTCTTCATTGTTCAATTCTCTATTCAGGTAACACTCCAATGAGTGGAGAACTCTTGAGGAAAAGAAAGGGGGAAAATGAACTTTCCTCTTTTTGAGTGTGCATGTGTGTGATCACATTTTCATTGTATTTAGTTTCTACCTAATTACTTCAGTTTTTTCTGTTATCTCCCAGTAACTTTTTTGTTTGTTTCTTTTAGGTTTTGCTTTTATAATAGTATACATGGCCATTAAATAAAATAGGAAACTACCAAAAAATAACAAAAAGTAGCAGAAAAAATAAAAATCACATATGTTTGGTTCCATTAATTTTCTTGCTCTTCAGTTATCTGTGTAATGTGACAGTCAGAAGTTTTAAGAAGGGATTCTAAATTCAGTAGTGTAAACATTTATTGTTGTTGTTAGGTGCCCTTGTGTTGGTTCCGAATCACAGTGACCCTATGTGCAACAGAATGAAACGCTACCCGATCCTGCGCCATCCTCACAATTGTTGTTATGTTTGAACCCATTGTTGCAGCTGCTGTGTCAATCCATCTCATTGAGGGTTGCTATGAATCAGAATAGACTCACAGCAATTGAGTTTTTTTAAACATTTATAGTATTCTAATATTTGGTAGTTGTATATCCTCAGATACAGTTTTTATATATTGCTGTCTCTACTATTTATATATTTTCTAGCTGTATTTTTTAATTAGAGAAAAGCAAGTGTTTTAAGTATTTAATTTTTTTCATCTCCCACTACTGGTAATTATTGTATTTAATTTTATGAGCTATTTGAAAAGTAAGAGTAATTTTTTTCATAATAAATTTCCTTGCCTGTATTTTTTTTGGAAAGAATGTACTTAACTTTATTTATTTTTTACTGCAGTGACAGTTGGTAACAGCCCCTGATTGACCATTCCTTCTTGGTAAATGCTTACTGCCTAAAACAGACCTAAATTTGTAAACTGTATCGAATTAAAGTGAGAATTCTTGTTAAGGCTATCTATTTGAAGTAGTAGAAAAAGCTTTTCTGACTTACTTTTAAGCTTCTGCTGAGATGAAAGGGCTTCTCATGCTATTTTTTGGTGATTGGACCATGTTGCATGAAAGAACCATGTGGAATAAATTTTTTTTTTCCTCTTCTGCAATTTGTTGTAGACACTAACAGATTGCTGATTGTAAACTGATGACTGCTGCAAGTAGTTAATTATAATTTTTAATACTAGAAGCTTAGTTTCCTGTCAGTTTTCTTAACAGTCATTTAAGAGGCTTCCTTTTCTTTTATATACTAAAATAAGATATAGTCATTTACATTCTTGAGTAAGCACAGAGTTTATATATATTTCAAAAATTATTTTTGTAATGATGAAATAATTTATGGCTATACTCATCTACACTGGGAGCTGGGTTATGCTTTCTCTTTGTCTTGCTATAATGGATATACTGTCTATAAATAATTTTTATTCATTGATTTATATTTTCCTTACCAATTTCCAAAAATAGTGAATTGCATGTTGTGTGTTATTATGGGTATTACCTTCTCCCATGCTGACACATGGGAGTTCTCTTTAATTCCTCTTGTAACCCGCATATCTACAAGCCTTATCATTTCTGTTTTGGAAATTTGACCATCCTCATTTCTTTTTTCTGTACCACTTTATGTAGATTTTTATTACTTGTTCCAGGATTATTACACTAGCTACCCAATCTTTTTCTATCTGGTATTTCTATTTTGTAGTTTATTTGCGTATGTTGCTGCCATATTAATTTTCCCAAGGCGTTGCTTGATGGGCATGTCTACTTAGAAAACTCACAGTTCATGTCCTCGCACTGCCTTGTATGCCTCCTTCCTTCCTTTTTATCACCTAGTAGCATCATCATCTACTGGGTCCTTCCAACTGGGAATCAGGACATCATTATTGAGTGCCGCTGTCTTATCCTCACATTCAGTCACTACATTCCATCGATTTCAACTTCTGAGTGGTTTTTGAATCTATCCTGTGTTTTCATCCTTGTCGCTACTGCCGTAGTTCATTAGCCCATCCTGTTGTTTAGATATTAAAATTGCCCTTCCTTAATTCTCTACATTAGGGAATGCTAGTGGGGTTTTCCCTTCATATTTATGTTCTGTTCTTATTGGAGGAGTCGAGAGAGAAAAAGGATGGTATAAGTAATGCCTACCTTTAATCAGGGCTCTTTCTTGACATATTCTGAAGAAATGTCTTAGTTTGTGGCATATGGAAATTTTTTAGTCCTGATTCTGGGATTTTTCTTTTTTTTTTTTTCCTGATGGTTATGCTAAAAAAATGAGAGAATCTGCACACCTCTGCTTACATTGATATTTTCCCTAGAACTCCAGGGGCAGTTATATATTTTCCATTTGTGGGCTTGATGACAGCATAGCACTTTGATATTATTTTGCAGGGTTAGATGAGAAATAAATACTTAATTAAAAATGAGAATTCAGTTAATATTATCCATCGTATTATTTCTAATTCTTATGAAAATGATACATTTTAACAGCTGTCTAATGTAAAAATCTACATACAGAATGTTTTTTTCTTCTCTTTGTAATAGAAATGAAGATCTAAAGCAAATGTTGGAGAGCAACAAAGATTCTGCTAAGCTGGATGCAATGAAGCGGATTGTTGGGGTAGGTAAAATAGTAGAACACTTCAATTTTTGAATAATAGATGAGTAATGATTACTTTATATTAAATAAATAAAAAACAAAAAACCAAACCCGTTGCCAATGAGTTGATTCTGACTCATAGTGACCCTATAGGACAGAGTAGAATTGCCCCACAGGGTTTCCAAGGAGTGACTGGTGGATTTGAACTGCTGACTTTTTTTGGTTACCAGCTGAGCACTTAACCTTTGTGCCACCAGGACCCCATGTGTAAGTATATGTATGTGTGTGTGTATATATGTATATATATATATAATACTAAATCTTCAAATGTGACAGCATCCCACTTGCCCCTTAATAGACTAGAATTTCCTGCCTAAAAAATGTTATTGAAAGAAACATTGAAGTATCAGAAATCAGGAAACTTGGGTTCTAATTCCATCTTTTCTTTGTTTTAGTATCCCTGTCTGTAGTATCAAGATATTTTTCCTTTGAAGTAGAGAAAGTTAATTATTTTGAAGACAAAATAAGATAATATGCGACATTATTTTGAGTTCCTACAAAGAGGAATACTAATTAGCTAAAATGTGTGTGCGTATATACACACATACGTACATATAGATATACATTTTTTTTTTTGTCATTTAATGACCTAAAGTTGTGAGCATGCTTTCTTTTGCTAGTATTTTTCAAACTCCATTGTTACCAGTAGAAATGCTTTATTAAATTTAGTAGCCAGGAATTTCTAATCAGTATTAAATGTAAAAGTATTCATGGTTCCCAGTTGTAATGCAAATTTTGAACAATTGACTGCTATGTTATTAGAAAGGGTTCCAAGTCAGAACTGACTCGATGGCAGCCTACAACAGCAACAACATTGCCAGACAACTAAAAATACAATGGAATTTCTAATTATATATACCATCTCTAACAAAATATTTTTGCAATTTGTGTCTTTCTGTTGTTGTGTGCCATATGTAAACCATACGTAATCTTTGAATAAAGACAATTATAAAGTCATACTTGCACCTAACATGATACAGTGAACACACATACAATCAAATATGCGCTAGCCATGTTTAATCTTATATTTTATAAGTGAAGAAAACAAAAACATTTGAGCATACATACAAGACAGAAATACTTATAACAATTACAGTCCTCGTCTGTGCAGCTAGTCATGTGGTCGTAACTGGTATTTAGAACTACTTTCTTCCACCATCCATTCTGTATTCCCTTTGCCCTTAGCAAGTGCCTCAGCTAGTCATGGTTCTTTGCCTGGTGGGGTGACCCAACCCTTCATTTCTGAAGGGTCTGGGCCACTAGTAGTCATGTCAGAATTGGGTTGCTATAGTTTTCTGTTAATTTTAATCACAGGGCATAGTAGTACTAACAGATGCCCTAAGGTGTCTCCTGAATTCCAGACATACTCTTGTTTACCTCCGTTATGTAATATCAATCTGATTTCCTCTTGGTAATCAGGATCAGTCACACCAGCCAGTACCGTAACTCCCTTCTTTGCCTGTTGATCCAGAGGCATAAAGAGCCCAAAGTGGCCAGGTGGCATTCTTAGCTTCCCAGTTTGGTGGAATCAGTGATGTGTCTCCAGGTGGGAGCATTCCTCCCTTTGGAACTAAGACCTCTAGACCCGCAGGCATAGGGTCGCTGGGACAGGAAGCAAAAATCTTGCGAGTGGGTCACTAGGGGTAATAGTGACTGATGCCACTCCCGTATCCACCCCTTGATTCCTGAACCCATGAATCCTGGCTATGGGAGAAACAACATCATATATTGGACGCTCATTTAGAGCATATACAGCCTGCTGGAGAAAACTGCCCCAACCCTGCAATGTATTGCCACGTAGCTGGTGCTGTAATTGTGTCTTTAGAAAGCTATTCCGTTGTTCTGTAAAGCCAGCTGCTTCAGAATGATGGGGAACCTGGTAAGACCAGTGAATGCCATGAGCCCATTGCTGCACCTCATTTTCTGTGAAGTGAGTCCCTTGATCCGAGGCGATGCTGTGTGGGATACCATGACGGTGGATAAGGTATTCTGTAAGTCCATGGATGGTAGTTTGGCAGAAGCATTGCGTGCAGGGAAGGCAAATCCATATCTAGAATGTGTCTGTTCCAGTAAGAACAAAATGCTGCCCTCTCCATGATGGAAGCAGTCCATTGTAATCAACCTGCCACCAGGTTGCTGGCTGATCACCTCAAGGAATGTTGCCATGTTGGGGACTCGGTGTTGGTCTCTGCTTCTGGCAGATTGAGCACTCAGCATTGCTTGTAGCTAAGTCATCCTGGGTGAGTGGAAGTCCATGCTGCTGATCCCATGCATAACCTCCATCCTTGCCACCATGGCCACTTTGTTTATGAGCCCATTGAGCAATGACAGGAGTGGCTGAGGAAGGAGGATGACTGGTTTCTACAGAACACGTTATCCTATCTACTTGATTGTTAAAATCCTCCTCTGCTGAGGTCACCTTTTATTGAGTGTCTTAGTTATCTAGTGCTGCTGTAACAGAAATAACACAAGTGGATGGCTTTAACAAAGAAATTTATTTCCTCACGGTAAAGTAGGCTAGAAGTCCAAATTCAGGGCGTCAGCTCCAGGGGAAGGGTTTCTCTCTCTGTTGGCTCTGGAGGAAGTTTCTTCTCATCAAGCTTCCCCTGGACTAGGAGCTTCTCTGCACAGGAACCCCGGGCCCAAAGGACGCGCTCTGCTTCCGACACTGCTTTCTTGATGGTATGAAGTCCCTGTCTCTCTGCTTGCTTCTCTCTTTTATATCTCAAAAGACATTGGCTTAAGACACAATCTAATCTTGTAGATCTCATCAGCATAACTTCTGCTAATCCATCTCATTAACATCATAGTGATAGGATTTACAACACATAAGAAAATCTCATCAGATGACAGAATGGTGGACAGTCACACAATACTGGGAATCATGGCCTAACCACATTGATACATATATTTTTGGAGGATACAGTTTAATCCATGACAGTGAGCATTCACACAAGACGCAAATATCTTCATTTCTTTGGCCCATTCGGAGAGGTCTTTGCACATACCTCTTCCCCATACCTCCTTGTCTCCAATTTTCCAGTCATGTTCCTTCCAAGTCCCTGACCATCCTGCCAAACCACTGGGCACAGCCCACGAATCAGTGTACAGTCACACACCTGGCCATTTCTCCTACGAAGCAAGGTGAACAACCAGATGCACTGCTTGAAGTTCCGCCCATTGGGAGGATTTCCCTTCACCACTGTCCTTCACGGAGGTCCCAGAAAGGAGCTATAGTGTTGCCACTGTCCAGTTTTGAATGATGCCTGCATATCATGCAGAACCATCTGTAAACCAGGCACGAGTTTTCTTTTCCTCAGTTAGCTGATCATAAGGAACTCCACAAGAGACTGTAGGTGCAGACTGGGAGATGGAAGGTACTGTGACAGGAGTGGAAACCATGAGCATTTGGGCCACTTCCTCATGCAACTTACTTGTGCCTCAGGTCCTGCTTGGGCCTGATCTTGTATATACCACTTTCATTTCATGATGGAATGTTGCTGTGCATGTCCAACTTTATGGCTCTGTGGGTCAGACAACACCAAGTACATGATGGGCACCTCAGGCCACATGGTGACTTGGTGGCCCATGGTTAAGCATTCAGTCTCTACTTAAGGCCTAGTAACAAGCCAAAAGCTATTTCTCAGAAGGAGAGTAGTTATCTGCAGAGGATGGCAGGGCTTTGCTCTAAAATCATAAAGGTCTGCTCTGTAATTCAAAAATAGATGCCTGCCAAAGACTCCAGACAGCATCTCTATCTGCTACTGACACTTCAGGCACTATTGGATCAGCTGGATCATATGGCCCAAGTGGCAGAGCTGCTTGCATGGCAGCCTAAACCTGTTGCAGAGCCTTCTCTTGTTCTGGGCCCCACTCAAAACTAGCAGCTTTGAGTCACTTGATAAATAGGCCAGAGTAGCACACCCAAATGAGGAATATGTTGCCTCCAAAATCCAAAGAGGTCCACTAGGCATTGTGCCTCCTTTTTAGTTGTGTGTGTATGTATGGAGGGGGAAGAGTAGATGCAATAACTTATCCTTCATTTTAGAAGGAGTACCTTGACATGGCCCACACCACTGGACTCCTAGACATTTTTCTGAGGTGGAAGGTGTCTGAATTTTTTTGGATTAACTTCCCACCCTCTGGCACGCAAATGTTTTACCGCTAAGTCCAGAGTCATTGATACTTCATCCTTTCTAGGTCCAGTCAGCATAGTGTCATCAATGTAATGAACCAGCGTGACGTCTTATGGAAGGGAAAGGCCATCTAGGTCCCTGTGGACTAAAATATGACATAGGGCTAGAGAGTAGAGATAGCCTTGAGGCAGGACACTAAAGGTGTATTGTTGGCCTTGCCAGTTGAAGGTAAACTGCTTCTGGTAGTCCTTCAAAACAGATATGGAGAAAAAGACATTAGCCAGATCAATAGCTTCATACCATGTACCAGGAGATATATTGATTTGCTCAAGCAATGAAACCATATCTGGAACAGCAGCTGCAATTGGAGTTGCCACCTGGTTAAGTTTTGATAATCCACTGTCATTCTCCATGATCCATCTGTTTTTTGCACAGGCCAAATAGGCAAGTTTAATGGGGATGTGGTGGGAATCACTGCTTGTGCATCCTTCAGGTTCTTAATGGTGACACTAATCTCTGCAGTCCCTCCAGGGATGTGGTATTGCTTTTGGTTTATTATTTTGCTGTGTAGGGGCAGTTCTTATGGTTTCTGCTTGGCTTTTCCTTCCATAATAGTCCTTACTCCACTTGTCAGGGATCCAATTTGGGGGTTCCACCAGTTGCTGAGTATATCTATTCCAATTATGCATTCTGGCACTGGGGAAAATCACTACAGGATGGGTTCGGGGACCTGCTGGACCTACTGTAAGACGGACACGAGCTAAGACTCTGTTAATAATCTGATTTCCATATGCCCCTGCTCTTACTAGTGGGCCACAGTGACAT